GGATGGATTTATGAAGGATGGGTTAATCATAGAATTGATGAGGGAAAAAAGGTGGGGTGGTGCGTTTTAGGTATATGTGGAGTCAAAAACGTTATCTATGGAGGCAAAGAAGGGAATGTATGAAAGTATAGTAGTACCAACACTCTTAAATGGATGTGAAGCTTGGGTGGTAAATGCAGCAGCGAGGAGACGGTTGGAGGCAGTGGAGATGTCCTGTCTAAGGGCAAATGTGTGGTGTAAATATTATGCAGAAAATTCGGTGTGGAAAATTTGGAGAAGGTGTGGAGTTAATAAAAGCTTAGTCAGAGGGCAGAAGAGGGGTTGTTGAGGTGGTTTGGTCATTTAGAGAGAATGGGTCAAAGTAGAATGACATGGAAAGCATATAAATCTATAGGGAAGGAAGGAGGGGTAGGGGTCGTCCTCGAAAGGGTTGGAGAGAGGGGGTAAAGTTTTTTTGGGCGAGGGGCTTGGACTTCCTGCAAGCGTGCCCTGAGCGTGTTACATAGGAGTGAATGGAGACGAATGGTACTTGGGACCCGACGACTGTTGGAGTGTGAGCAGGGTAATTTTAGTGAAGGGATTCAGGGAAACCGGTTATTTCATATAGTCGGACTTGAGTCCGGAAATGGGAAGTACAATGCCTGCACTTTAAAGGAGGGGTTTGGGATATTGGCAGTTTGGGGGGATATGTTGTGTATCTTATACGTATATGCTTCTAAATGTTGTATTCTGAACACCTCTGCAAAAAAATGATAATGTGTGAGTGTGGTGAAAAGTGTTGAATGATGATGAAAGTATTTTCTTTTGGAGATTTTCTTTCTTTTTTGGGTCACCCTGCCTCGGTGGGAGACGGCCGACTTGCTGGGGGAGAAAAAAAAAAAAAAAAAAAAAAAAAAAAAAAAAAAAAAAGATATCGAATCCCCATGTATATGGGAGAATAAAATGCTTCATATTTCTGGAGAAATAATGAGAATAAAATTATAGCCAGTCAATCAATGGCATACAAGGTAGCCAACGACAGTTTGTAAATAAATTATGGGAAAAATTAGTAATATTTCAATCAGGTAGGTATTTTGCCTATAAATTATTCACAAATAGCCCACACTTTCAAGAAGAAACTAATGAAGATGTTTCAGTCCGTCCTGGATTATTATCACTTGACAAGTCACCGCTTCCATTGCAATATCACATCCCAGGATTACAAAAAAAAGTAAATGACCAATATTTCACTAAAAAAAATTATCTGCAACGGAAAGCGCTAACATAATGTCAAGGACACTTAGTGTCAATTAATTTATACTGTTCACATGGTGGAGCCTCTCCTTCCTTGGATCAAACCTGATTACCTATTCGCCAAGCGCATTATTACATGTGCAACATCCGTCTAGAATAATTTAATCCTGATTATAATAAAAAAATAAGCTCTAAACGCGTATGAGTAATATAAACTCTCAAGTGTAGATACCCTGAGATAAACTTCTTGGTGAATATTATAATCAGGGGAAGATCTAAGTCCATAAAGGTCAAACAGTGCTTGGGAAATGAGGTATCAAGTTTGATCCGAGTGTTGTAGCTGTTAATTCTTTGGATCAAGAGCACTTCGCCAGCATCAAGGGAAAACGCTAAACCCTTAGGGGTCATATAGCGCCTGGAGGGATGGGAGACAGCCAGGTTCGAGTCAAGAAGGGGAGGAAAAGTTTAATTACTTGGATCAAGATCCACGCCCCAGGATCAAGGAACCTTCATTATGGGGAAGTTGAGTTTGAAGCCTATCAGCTGAACAGTGCAGTCGATAGGCTTTAAACCTGTACTCACTTATTTGTGGTTGCAGGGCTCGAGTCTTAGCTCCTGGCCCCGCCTCTTCACTTGTTGCTACTGGGTGAAGCATACTTTAATACCAATAATAGGTATTAGGTACTCGAGTGTATATACAATGAGGCACCTCTCAGTGCATATATTCTTATGGGTGAGAAATACTAGATATATTCCTTGAAGCTGGTGAAGGGCTCTTGATCGAGGGAATTAAGAGCTACCCTCGAATCAAACCTGATTGCCTTCCATTCCTGTAGGCTCTATATAACCCCCTACGTGTCTAGCCCTTTCCCATGACTATACTAACACTTGATATGTAATGAGACACTCAACCTTCCACAAGTGATGACGGGTGACTGAGGTGGCGCCCGTCATCACCTGTACCATTCATTCTTACATTAATTTACATTATTATATCAAAATAACGATTGAACTCTAAATCAGTAATATTTAATATCTTCTTTCATCCTAAGTTTATTATATAACTGGGTAATAAGATTTAAAGCCTATCGACTACACTAAGGTCATTAAGACTGCACGTAACCTAATCACCGCGGAATAAGAATACTTTAATACCTAAAATGTTACTCTTATCATATTTACACTGAGTAATACACCGAGAAGTGCATGTATCCTGTTATCTACCCTCTAGCTGCGACACTGAAAATCAGTTCAAAATTATTAAAATATTCAAACAGCCTCAAGCAGAAATATCAGTATTTTTCTCTAAAGCCTTATTTACTTCTTCAAGGCTATGGGTGCCCACACCTGTACTTAGAGGACCACGTCTATTCTATACTACCTAAATCTGAAGTGGTCACATAGCCTTGGGAATGAAACAGGAAGGTCGAGTGGGGGGGGAGTTATCAGATTTGAACAGATTCCTTGGAAAGCGATAAGCTCGTAAGAATTAAAAAAAAATTATTTCTGAAGAGCCATACGACAACAGTAGTTATACATTCGAAATAATTACCTATTGAATTTGATCACATTATAATACCGATATAATTACAAGACTTACTAACTACTTAATTCTAGACCTTCACTAGTATCAAGGTCTTGAGGAGCATTATCAACGGTTCCTTCAGATCCTGGTGAAGTCTCTTAACGTCAAGGACCTGCAGCTACTCTCTTCCTTGGATCATTTACCTTCCAGTACCCAAGCATTGTATGACACCTACTGGTTTAGTGTTTCTCCATTAATATAATAGTGGCACCTCCAAGATTTATTTTACTCATGAGGAAGCGCTAAACTCGTAGGGGTCATAGTGCCTGGGGAATGAGACATTAAGGTTCCATCCAAGGAAGAGGAGAAACCTGAATGCCTCTCATTTCCCAGGCAATATATGACCCTTACGAGTTTAATGCTTCCCCGATTAAAATCAATAAATCATGGTGCCGCTAGTTATTAATGTGAGAGCGCTAATCTCGTAGGGGTCATACACCACTTGGGGAATGAGTGGTAATCGTGTTCGATATAAGTATGAAGACTACCTCAGTTCCTTGTATCAAGAGCCAGCACCTGTAGAATGTCTTAATACGTAGAACTGGCTCTTATTCATTTGATCAAGAGTTCACTACCAGGATCAAGGCACTTTCCTTTATATGTGTATAGGAAAGCCTTAAACCCATATTATTATAATCAAAAGGAAGCGCTAAACCTATCTGGTGAATAGGGAATATCAGGTTTGATCCAAGGAAGTGGAGGGTAACTTCAATTTCTTAAAACAAGTCTTTCACCATTTTAATCAGAAGGAACGCTCTAAACTCATAGGAGCCACACAGCACCTGGAGATTGTGATTCTGGCAGGTTCGGTCTAAAAAAAAGTGGCAAAGTAGTTCCTTGGATCAACTAACTAATCATGGGAAGCGCTAAACCCGTAGGGATTATAGTGCCTATGGGGGGATGGAAGGTTTTCAGACTCAATTTGGGGAACTGGAACACATCAAGTTCCCCAGATCAAGAACCCCTCACCTGCGTCAAGGAACTTTTCTCGAGTCATGAGGTGAACATAACATTAAAAATAATTATTTTTAATGTCATGCATCTGGGGAATGGAAGGCAAAAGTTTGAGCCGAGGAAGTGTAGTTTAAACTTCTTTAATCAAAGAGCCCTTCACCGACATCATCCTCCACCAGACTACATTTCTTTATTAACGTTAACGGGAAAGACACATAAAACCAGATTCATACAACTCCAGAAGTTAATGTTGCATATCCTGTGATACTGATTTGCTCATGGTACTGTAGTATGAAAAAAGTAGTTTTTAATGGACATGCGGCTGGAGTGAGCAAGGTAACTATGAAGGAATTCCGGGAAAAAGGGTTAATTGGGATAGATTCCTGGAGGTGAGAAGGGCAAGGCAGTACCAGAAGTGGGTGGGTATATTGCAGTCGGAGGGTAATCCCACTTGTGATGTCAACATACTACTGGCAAGTCAGTGACTGAATGACTAGTTTCATTTTTATTGAAAGAGGGAAGGGCTCATCCTACCTTGGTGGGAGACAGTCACTAAGGTAAAAAACAAGAGGCTGTCAGTTCTTTTTCACTGTTAACAAAAATATAACTTCCACTGAAACCCCAAGGTAATACAGCAACTACAAAATCAAAAATATTTTATTGAATATAAGTTACATATCAATAAATATCTCTGTCCTTGTTTCTATGTTGAATGCGTAATAAACATAATGAAAAGCTTTGTAAAACAATAATTTAATTTTGTCATGAAATTCCCTCACACAATCCACTATAAATATAATACCCATTTTTTCCAAACGGGTTTTGTAATTAAGTTAAAAAAAATTATACCAAAAAATTAAAATCACAGAATGCGAAACTTATTCTACCTGTAGTTAATATACTGCAAAATTATACATAAAATATATTATAAGAACGAACACTATCACGTGTCATGTCATTCATACAACTCTTTAATTATGTCTTTTCTAATTTTTTCACTGAAATCTTTATTTAAACACATGCTGTAAAAGTCCATACATAAGATGAATTTAATGCTCACTAACCTATTTGCACATCATAAAAAAATTAACAAAAATTATTAAAGAAACTAAAAATTGGGTCATCACTTCAAATGTCTCTCCATTAAAATAAACTATAATCTCTCGTACAACAATCCTCTGTACATTTTACTGTGTTATGCATTAAACTTCCCAAGACGGGACCAAGATATTTGTAGCAAGTATATCAAGAGTAATGTTCAAATAAATAAATAAATAAATGTGTTCGTCACGATTAAAAAACAAAGAGGGTAAAATCTCAACCATTACTGCTGATGAATAGGCCTCACTGGTACCGTTTTCTTAACCACACTGTTGTCTCCGTTAAGGTTGGTTAGGAAAAGGCATCAGTGAGGGTTATTCATTAAAAGTAATTGTGGAGAGTCGACCCTGTCCTCTAATTGTGACTGACACATTACCGACAAGTACTGTAATACAACACAATATAGTGTTTGTCACTGTATTGAGAAGATGCATATTGTTTTATTAACATATCTGTAACAGAGGGAAGCAAACAGGGCCACAACCTATCACTGGCGATAATAAAGAGCTGTTGAAATTGATTACTTGCGTATTACAGTACAGTATCATACAGCGTCTCGTGAATATTAAATAGCTATAATCTGGTATTAACGCTCAAATTAAATTTTAAATATATCTATACGAGGCATTAAAACATTAGTCAATATTAGGTATTAGGACTCTAAAGTTTGTCTATAGGCCTATGTATATTCTGAATAGAACAAATAATGCATTCAAAATTATTTTATCTACCAGAATTACGTTAATAAATAAAAAAAAATATAAGAAATCTTTCGTTATCCATGCAATGTATAATTTATCTGTAAATATTTTAGAATGATATTATCCCTAATATATAAGTGGCATTAAATTATCTATAAATATTCTGAGTCTACTAGCATTGTAAACCTGCACCTGAGATATGAGTTAGATGTGCTTGTATTACTCTGACTCTTCACTTCTCGATAGTTAAAGTAGAGTGACGTATATTGTACCAAAGGGAACATCTTGCTTCAGACGTACAATCTTTTTCTTATGCATCTCTGCCGTCAAGAAAAATAAATCTTAATATTAATTACTAAAGCAATTGAGATATTCTTCTGCCGTCAAGAAAAATAAATCTTAATATTAATTACTAAAGCAATTGAGATATTCTATGTTGATATTTAATGTAAATACAAATGATATGGAATAGGTGGTAAGTTACTAAATGCTGTTAAGAGGTTTTATGAGGATAGTCAGGCTCAGGTTAGGGTGTGTAGAAGAGAGGGAGAATACTTCCCGGTAAAAGTAGGTCTTAGACAGGGATGTGTAATGTCACCATGGTTGTTTAATATATTTATAGATGGGGTTGTAAAAGAAGTAAATGCTAGGGTGTTCGGGAGAGGGGTGGGATTAAATTATGGGGAATCAAATTCAAAATGGGAATTGACACAGTTACTTTTTGCTGATGATACTGTGCTTATGGGAGATTCTAAAGAAAAATTGCAAAGGTTAGTGGATGAGTTTGGGAATGTGTGTAAAGGTAGAAAGTTGAAAGTGAACATAGAAAAGAGTAAGGTGGTGAGGGTATCAAATGATTTAGATAAAGAAAAATTGGATATCAAATTGGGGAGGAGGAGTATGGAAGAAGTGAATGTTTTCAGATACTTGGGAGTTGACGTGTCGGCGGATGGATTTATGAAGGATGAGGTTAATCATAGAATTGATGAGGGAAAAAAGGTGAGTGGTGCGTTGAGGTATATGTGGAGTCAAAAAACGTTATCTATGGAGGCAAAGAAGGGAATGTATGAAAGTATAGTAGTACCAACACTCTTAAATGGATGTGAAGCTTGGGTGGTAAATGCAGCAGCGAGGAGACGGTTGGAGGCAGTGGAGATGTCCTGTCTAAGGGCAATGTGTGGTGTAAATATTATGCAGAAAATTCGGTGTGGAAATTAGGAGAAGGTGTGGAGTTAATAAAAGCATTAGTCAGAGGGCAGAAGAGGGGTTGTTGAGGTGGTTTGGTCATTTAGAGAGAATGGATCAAAGTAGAATGACATGGAAAGCATATAAATCTATAGGGGAAGGAAGGAGGGGTAGGGGTCGTCCTCGAAAGGGTTGGAGAGAGGGTGTAAAGTTTTTTTGGGCGAGGGGCTTGGACTTCCTGCAAGCGTGCGTGAGCGTGTTACATAGGAGTGAATGGAGACGAATGGTACTTGGGACCTGACGATCTGTTGGAGTGTGAGCAGGGTAATATTTAGTGAAGGGATTCAGGGAAAACCGGTTATTTTCATATAGTCGGACTTGAGTCCTGGAAATGGGAAGTACAATGCCTGCACTTTAAAGGAGGGGTTTGGGATATTGGCAGTTTGGAGGGATATGTTGTGTATCTTTATACGTATATGCTTCTAAACTGTTGTATTCTGAACACCTCTGCAAAAAGTGATAATGTGTGAGTGTGGTGAAAGTGTTGAAATGATGATGAAAAGTATTTTCTTTTTGGAGATTTTCTTTCTTTTTTGGGTCACCCTGCCTCGGTGGGAGACGGCCGACTTGCTGAGAGAAAAAAAAAAAAAAAAAAAAAAAAAAAAAAAAAAAAAAGATATCGAATCCCCATGTATATGGGAGAATAAAATGCTTCATATTTCTGGAGAAATAATGAGAATAAAATTATAGCCAGTCAATCAATGGCATACAAGGTAGCCAACGACAGTTTGTAAATAAATTATGAAAACTTAGTAATATTTCAATCAGTCCTGGATCAGTATAAAGGCAAGAAGGAGAGAGCTTCATAAAATACATAGACCGAGGTGTATTTCTCTTAGCGTATACTGTATATGCTGAGAATTTACTTTAGTTCCTACTTTAAGAATTAAAGTATTGTCTAGTGGTGAAAAGGTTACATGAAGCCTTTATGACTTGGTGTAGTCAATAGGCTTCAATCCCGTTAACCAATTCAACAATGCTTCCCTACTTGCTACCTAATAATGATCCATGGCGAATTGAAACGTCCAATTTTATTTACAGATTGTGGGTTAGTTGTGAACTGTCCCAGGCACGGTAATGTGAAATTTATTCTTAGTGAATATAACTTACCCAGAAGCACATAGAAGATATGCGCCACCTCCGCTTTCGTGGGGTTAGTTGGCAGTAGACTCTCAACGGTTCCCACTGCTCCCGGGCATAATATATCCTTCACATGTTCTTCTGTTTCTGCGTGTTTTAAGCTAGTTGGTGATATCTGTCTGATGGGTGACATAAAACTAGGAATGAACTCCTCACTCGTATCACCAGGCCCTGGAGGAGCATGTGGTCGGGGTATGGGTGCTGGTGCAATGGGACTTGGAGTCCTAAGTTCTGTAGGTTCTTTCCTAGGACCTACTTCAGCTACTACTGGAGTCACTGCTTCAGGTAAAGCAAATTCTTGAGTGACGGGGAGAGGCAATCCATTCACAATCCTGTAGGAAACATCAAGTGTTTATAACGAAGGAAAATGAACTGATAACAGTAAAAACAGGATAGAGGAAGAGAAGAATACTACTAATAAAACATGAAATATTTATGCAGTTAGAATCTGAGTATATCTGTAATTTATTTTGATAACATGAACGCAGATAAACACTGATTGACTGATGTTATAGTAGCCAGCCTTAAACCATACTACGGGCGGGGATAGAACCCGCGATCAGAGAGTCTCAAAACTCCAGACCGTCGCGTTAGCCACTGGACCAGCTAGCCACAATAAGATTCGTCCAACTAGGTATATTTCTACACCATAGGAAGGTTAGCATAGACACCACTGTGACCACAAATGCAAGTTTTTACAGACGAATCTCCAGCTAGCGTTGGCCGTGACGGAAAGGCTCAAGTCCCACAAAGCCGTAAACATGACTACGAAATCGTAATGACACGATTGCAAACAAACCACACCACGGGCGGGGATAGAACCCGCGATCAGAGTCTACTAACCTGAGTTGGACGAATCATATTGTGACCAGCGTCACAGTGGCTAACGCGACGGTCCTGGATTTTGAGACATCATCTGATCGCGGGTTCTATTCATTCACCCGTGGTAGGTTATGTTTTGCAATATGTGTCATTAACGATTTCGTAGAGCAGCCTTAGATTAAGCTGAGGTACTAGGCAGTAAGCAGATACATAGATGAATGATCGAAAAGCTTAAACAATAGCATGTGGTCAGCCTCATGGATAAACATAAACGCAGATCAAACACTGACAGATGATGGTTATAGTAGAGCTTAGACTTAGCTGAAAGTACTGGCAGTTTAGCTGATGCATAGAGGATGATCAAACTAAATACAATGTATGTGGTCAGCCTCATGGACACTTTCTTAAAACACTGTGAGCTTGACTGATCCACTTGAGTATGATGTCACAAAAATTAGTACGATAACCTAGTGATATGTCGAGGTATCTTATTAATGAAAATTAGATACTAGGCATTGATCTTATTAATGAAAATAGGATACCAGACATTTATCTTATTAATGAAAATAAGATACCGAGCATTTCTAAATTTACTCAAAATATGAAATACAATAATAATAATTCCTTTCTTTTTGGGTCACCCTGCCTCGGTGGGGAACGTCCGAGGTGTTAAAAAAATAATAATAAATAGGGATTTTGTTATTTCTGAGCAAATGTATTCCTGTTAACCCTTTGGGAAACTAGTTCCAGGGGCTTTTCTTTTATCCATGTACTCTTGTGCTACGGTCCACAGGATGAACAAGGTGTGCACAATAAATTAGCCGCTTTGGCGGCAACATCCATTCTCAGTGCAATCATTTCTTCAGTTGTTGTCAGTAAGGAAAAAGAAAATAATTTTTTTTAACACGTCAGCTGTTTCCCACAGAGGAGAGGTGACCCAAAAAGAAAGGAAAAACTTTCATCATTCAACACTTTCACCATGACTCATACATAATCATCTTAATTAAATTAAGCAGAGACATAAGGTTAAACTTTTTTCAAATGACTGAAATGCAACAGGGGTATACAACACTTAACCTTCTTAGCCTAAATTGCGCCGCAGCGTCTACACGTAACCAATCAGGATCTGAGAAGCCTTTATCGCATCTAGACAAGATGGTGTTCAGTGATGAGGTCAGTGGGTTTCTAAATGCTCACACAATCTGTCATATTTGTTTTTTTGCATCACTGTATGAATTCAGGCATACTAATTTGCAGTTCAGGGCCGCCTTCTCTCTTTTGAGACGTTACGTAGACACACGATGCATTCCAGTTGCTGGTAGTTCCATGCCTAGTAACAAAGCTGTTTTTAGACTATTGAATTGACAGGTTAAGAGGCCGTTATCCACACTCGAGCTTGTTTCAAAATACAACCCATCTGTAAGGTCATAATAAAATTTCTCCCTCAGGATGCACCCACAACAGATCCTATTCCAGGTACTATTTGCACTTAGATACAAGTGATTCCGAGCTGTGCGGCTTTTTCTTTAGATACGTAATGATATCCCATCAGGTACCAAAACCACCGTTGTGTCTAGCTCTGGCAGGAACTCCAGTACCTCTTCTCGTTTCAAATGTTCCGACAATGGCTCCTGCTCAATTGTGAAAACATCTTACTCATATCCGTAAGACCCTGTCTTTTCTTAGCCTTATCACCTGAACTTAAATTGTATTTTTCTTCTGATGTGCTATGGAGTATTTGAGGACTAGACTACATTTGTCGCTATGTTAAATTATTACCGTCTTCCTCTGTGTGTGTGTGCATGTGTGCTGCTGATGAGGAAGGGATAGGCAAGATGAAAGAAATAACCTTAAAGAAAGGAAATTAAAATAAGCAACAGTGTGAAATAGAGATAATGTAGAAAATATGAAAATACCTTGTTAAAAGAGAACAAAATACTGTACTGGGTTGTTTAAACAGAGGGAATGGCTGTGACCGAAAACATGTACTTTATCAGTAAATGACCAAGATGAATGAATTAAAACTTACCTTTCCACCGGTGAATGGGGAATGTGGACATCAGCTTGTACAGTAACTACAGTAGCACCTACTTCAGGAGAACGCAGAGGGCCTCTTACAGGAGTTTCTTCAGGAGGTACATAAGTAGTGACGCGTGGGGTTCTCAGTGACATCCCTGGGGGTGTGGCCAAGCCGATATCCTCAAACCCACTCTGGACTCTCACATCTGAAAGAAACCCATTACATTAAGATTAGGCTTTGATACTTGTTTTCCTATCCGAAATTATATGCGGTACATCAGATTTGGATTTGCTATTTTAAGTTAGATCTTTATAATTCATCAACACCATATGCTAGGTTTCAAGCCTATCGACAACCAGGTTATTTATGATGCATTTCACTAAATAGCCCTCTAATAACGGAAACCTTAATCCCTAAAATGTAGAGTATGCTTTTCAGTGAATACAGTTTGTATTATATATCATATCTGTATATACACCGCTGTTTTCAGCGGGTCTCAGACCGGGCCGCGGGGGCGTTGACCCCCGGAACTCTCTCCAGGTAAACTCCAGGTATATACATCGAGAGAAATAACCCCCTCCCCTCACAATATATGCAAAAGGTTTATCACAAACCAGTGCTTAACGCAACCACTTCAGAAATTGACGCCTAAAAACGTAAAAAATTCATTTGGATAAAAATTATGTTCTGTTTACAGAAGGAAAATTACTTGGAAAAAAAAGTCTTGACTGAATGCAGCTAGAGGATTAGTGCGTTGAAAGACTGATGAGTAGCTGAAGTGAATGAAAAGTTGAAATAGTCAAGCTAGTGAAAATGTGGCGAATGTTAAGAGATGTGGGCAATATGGAAAAAAGAACTAAATAAATATGACTCATTTATGCAAGACAAGCCACGGGGAATGGCTTGTCTTGCACTGTTAAGACCACCTGTCTGCGATTGTATTGTATGACTCGTTTAAAGTTGTATGCAAATTTCCAAGACACTTTAAAACTCCTTGGAGACCAGACTATTTCCTCCGTAAACTGTTGAACTGTTAACAAGTCTTCCAACAGGTGGAAATGAGGAAAATCCTGGTATTGATTGTGTTTATTATCCAAGAGTTGTGGCGGTACCATCTTCCAAAGATCACTCGCTAGAATAATCATGTGCTTAACATAGGCATGTTAGACATTTAAAACAGTATTAAAACATCAGTATATTTAATCTGAATAGTTTACTTTCGTCATTTCGACGTTATATTATAGTCCTGCACAAATAATCAGACGCGTAGAAGACAAACTCATGATGACGGTTCGGTCGTAATAAGTTTCAGTTTCCGGGTTATTTTGTATTGTTTCCGTCACAGTATTGTGTTTTCAAATGTTATAATCATACTTGTACTACAGAACTTCACTTTTATATCACCTGGTCTTGGAGGAGGACCTCGGGCTGGCTTTGGGGTTGACACTCTCGCTGGGAGTTCAGCCTCGACTTGTAGTGTCTCTTGTATCGGTGGCGCAGGTTCCATCAGTGGAGCCGCTGGAGGGGCCTCGGGCTCAAGTGGAGGGAATATTTCTAAGCCTTGCTCCTCTGTCAAGTAACATATGGTTATGTGAATGGATGGAAGAAATAAAATTAGAGGTTAGTTTCATGGCTTTACTATACTATACACCCCATACCCATCCAGTGGCCCGTAATAAAAAAATTACCGAAGAACACAATGGATCCACTGACTAGGCCCCAAAGTTATGGTAGTTAAGCAAGTTGCAGTACTGGGCAATGAATAATTTACATGTTTTTATCTGGTTATTGTTGTATTGATTCGTTTATGCAGATATGAATTCAGTCATAAAAACATTCTAGTACACTTTTTTTTTTCAATTTTTATTACTTTATATTTTAGCAGGTTATAGTTGAAGTTGGACATGTCGTGGGGGTTCGGAAGGAGATATGATGGTTGAAGATAAACACACTTGTGGATGGTAACGCTATATATTGTCAGACTGTGGTAAGGGAAGGGCCCAGCCTGCCTTCTTGCCTGTTGTATGTCTAAGCGTGGAGTGAGGAAGTTACAGAGGTACTCACGTACACCTGCGCATCCCGTGACATCACACAGTCACTATGCCTAGTAAGGGATCTTCTATATAAAACATATGGATGATACTATGATACTCAGCTAAGCTATACAACACATGTAAGGGGGGGATCAGCAACTATGCTGACAGCTCGGTCATGTTACGTATGTCGTCTCGACATACACTACTATGCTATAGGCTGAACAGGCAGGTGGTTCTGGGCTGATTCTATACAATAACAAATTCATATGTAACTTAGAACTAATGGATGGTATCATAATGGATGTTAACATAATGAGTTTTAACGTAATGGGTGTTAACGTAATGAGTTTTAACGTAATGGGTGTTAACGTAATGAGTTTTAACGTAATGTATTACAAATTATAAGAACAAATCATGGTATAATATAGGATGGACTTGATCGATCGATCTGTAGTCATGCACTCTACGGATTCTGAGGAAGAATAAATATATATTTACAAAGTGAAAGTAATTAACAGCAAAATCTGGTGCATGCAGATCATTACTGTCAAATTATCAGAATACGGAGGGAACGTGAACACGAAAAAAAAAAAAATCTGAAAAACTGATCATTTAATAACAAAAAACACAGTTGACAATTTCCTTCATCTCGGACATCTCATTATACAGACTATGTACATTTAAACCCAATTCTGCGAGGGTGAGGTTTACATATGCAGAATGGTTATCATCTCTGGGAAGATCGAATTCCTCTGCAATGGCTAACACATGCCTTGACTGAGGGCAATCTGAATGAATATCTACAAAAGATACTTGTGGGTTTCTCATTACTTGTCAAGTACGCAAGGAGTAACGACATTCAGGTTGATTATCTGACTGAGTATTTGAGGTAGAGGGTACAGAGTCAAGAGGATTTTCAGCATCTGTCACATTAGTCTGGGTAGCAATATCATCAACATCGCATACTAACTTCATATAATCTAAATGCGATTCTTTGTACTTTTTTTTTTTCAACAAGTCGGCCGTCTCCCACAGAGGCAGGGTGACCCAAAAAAAGAAAGAAAATCCCCAAAAAGAAAATACTTTCATCATCATTCAACACTTTCACCACACTCACACATTATCAATTTTTGCAGAGGTGCTCAGAATACAACAGTTTAGAAGCATATACACATAAAGATAAACAACATATCCCTCCAAACTGCCAATATCCCAAACCCCTCCTTTAAAGTGCAGGCATTGTACTTCCCATTTCCAGGACTCAAGTCCGACTATATGAAAATAACCGGTTTCCCTGAATCCCTTCACTAAATATTACCCTGCTCACACTCCAACAGATCGTCAGGTCCCAAGTATCATTCGTCTCCATTCACTCCTATCTAACACGCTCATGCACGCTTGCTGGAAGTCCAAGCCCCTCGCCCACAAAACCTCCTTTACCCCCTATTTCCAACCCTTTCGAGGACGACCCCTACCCCTCCTTCCTTCCCCTATAGATTTATATGCTTTCCATGTCATTCTACTTTGATCCATTCTCTCTAAATGACTAAACCACCTCAACAACCCCTCTTCTGCCCTCTGACTAATGCTTTTATTAACTCCACACCTTCTCCTAATTTCCACACTCCGAATTTTCTGCATAACATTTACACCACACATTGCCCTTAGACAGGACATCTCCACTGCCTCCAACCGTCTCCTCGCTGCTGCATTTACCACCCAAGCTTCACATCCATATAAGAGTGTTGGTACTACTATACTTTCATACATTCCCTTCTTTGCCTCCATAGATAACGTTTTTTGACTCCACATATACCTCAACGCACCACTCACCTTTTTTCCCTCATCAATTCTATGATTAACCTCATCCTTCATAAATCCATCCGCCGACACGTCAACTCCCAAGTATCTGAAAGCATTCACTTCTTCCATACTCCTCCTCCCCAATTTGATATCCATTTTTTCTTTATCTAAATCATTTGATACCCTCATCACCTTACTCTTTTCTATGTTCACTTTCAACTTTCTACCTTTACACACATTCTCAAACTCATCCACTAACCTTTGCAATTTTTCTTTAGAATCTCCCATAAGCACAGTATCATCAGCAAAAAGTAACTGTCAATTCCCATTTTGTATTTGATTCCCCATAATTTAATCCCACCCCTCTCCCGAACACCCTAGCATTTACTTCTTTTACAACCCCATCTATAAATATATTAAACAACCATGGTGACATTACACATCCCTGTCTAAGACCTACTTTTACCGGGAAGTATTTTCCCTCTCTTCTACACACCCTAACCTGAGCCTCACTATCCTCATAAAAACTCTTTAACAGCATTTAGTAACTTACCACCTATTCCATATACTTGCAACATCTGCCACATTGCTCCTCTATCCACTCTTTCATATGCCTTTTCTAAATCCATAAATGCAATAAAAACTTCCCTACCTTTATCTAAATACTGTTCACATATATGCTTCAATGTAAACACTTGATCTACACATCCCCTACCCACTCTGAAGCCTCCTTGCTCATCCGCAATCCTACATTCTGTCTTACCTCTAATTCTTTCAATTATAACCCTACCGTATACTTTTCCTGGTATACTCAGTAAACTTATTCCTCTATAATTTTTACAATCTCTTTTGTCCCCTTTCCCTTTATATAAAGGGACTATACATGCTCTCCGCCAATCCCTAGGTACCTTCCCCTCTTTCATACATTTATTAAACAAAAGTACCAACCACTCCAACATTATATCCCCCCCTGCTTTTAACATTTCTGTCATGATCCCATCAGTTCCAGCTGCTTTACCCCCTTTCATTCTACGTAATGCCTCACGTACCTCCACCACACTTACATTCTGCTCTTCTTCACTCCTAAAAGATGGTATACCTCCCTGGCCAGTGCATGAAATTACCGCCTCCCTTTCTTCCTCAACATTTAAAAGTTCCTCAAAATATTCTCGCCATCTACCTAATACCTCCCTTTCCCCATCTACTAATTCCCCTACTCTGTTTTTAACTGACAAATCCATACTTTCCCTAGGCTTTCTTAACTTGTTTAACTCACTCCAAAATTTTTCTTATTTTCATTAAAATTTCTTGACAGTGCCTCTCCCACTCTATCATCTGCTCTCCTTTTGCACTCTCTCACCACTCTCTTCACCTTTCTTTTACTCTCCATATACTCTGCTCTTCTTATAACACTTCTGCTTTATAAAAACCTCTCATAAGCTACCTTTTTCTCTTTTATCACACCCTTTACTTCATCATTCCACCAGTCACTCCTCTTTCCTCCTGCCCCCACCCTCCTATAACCACAAACTTCTGCCCCACATTCTAATACTGCATTTTTAAAACTATTCCAACCCTCTTCAACCCCCCCCCCCCCGCTACTCATCTTTGCACTAGCCCACCTTTCTGCCAATAGTCGCTTATATCTCACCCGAACTTGCTCCTCCCTTAGGTTATACACTTTCACCTCCCTCTTACTTGTTGTTGCCACCTTCCTCTTTTCCCATCTACCTCTTACTCTAACTGTAGCTACAACTAAATAATGATCCGATATATCAGTTGCCCCTCTATAAACATGTACATCCTGGAGCCTACCCATCAACCTTTTATCCACCAATACATAATCTAACAAACTACTTTCATTACGTGCTACATCATACCTTGTATATTTATTTATCCTCTTTTTCATAAAATATGTATTACTTATTACCAAATTTCTTTCTACACATAGCTCAATTAAAGGCTCCCCATTTACATTTACCCCTGGCACCCCAAATTTACCTACTACTCCCTCCATAACATTTTTACCCACTTTAGCATTGAAATCCCCAACCACCATTACTCTCACACTTGATTCAAAACTCCCCACGCATTCACTCAACATTTCCCAGAATCTCTCTCTCTCCTCTACACTTCTCTCTTCTCCAGGTGCATACACACTTACTATAACCCACTTTTCACATCCAATCTTTATTTTACTCCACATAATCCTTGAATTTATACATTTGTAGTCCCTCTTTTCCTGCCATAGCTTATCCTTCAACATTATTGCTACTCCTTCTTTAGCTCTAACTCTATTTGAAACCCCTGACCTAATCCCATTATTCCTCTCCATTGAAACTCTCCCACCCCCTTCAGCTTTGTTTCACTTAAAGCCAGGGCATCCAGTTTCTTCTCATTCATAACATCCACAATCATCTCTTTCTTATCATTTGCACAACATCCACGCACATTCAGACTTCCCACTTTGACAATTTTCTTCTTCTTATTCTTTTTAGTAATCTTTACAGGAAAAGGGGTTACTAGCCCATTGTTCCCGGCATTTTAGTTGATTTTTACAACACGCATGGCTTACGGAGGAAAGATTCTTATTCCACTTCCCCATGGATATAAAAGGAAAAGTAATAAGACCAAGAACTATTAAGATAAAATCAAAGAAAACTCCAATGAGTGTGTATAAATAAACGTGTACATGTATGTGTAGTGTGACCTAAGTGTAAGTAGAAGTAG